TTGCAGCTACCGCAGGATCTCGCTGCTGTCCGTAGCTGGCAAGATTATCGCCCGAGTCCTTCTAAACAGACTACTACCTGAGGCGGAAAACTTCCTCCCAAACTCTCAATGTGGCTTTAGACCATCACGTGGCACCACTGACACGATCTTTGCTGCCCGCCAGATACAGGAAAAGTGCAGAGAACAGCATTGTGACCTGTACATGACCTTCATCGACCTAACCAAGGCCTTCGACTCGGTCAACAGGGAAGCCCTCTAGTGGACCCTCAGCCGTTTTGGCTGCCCACCAAAATTCATCGCCATTGTGAGGCAACTCCACGATGGCATGAACGGCAGTGTCCTGCACAATGTCACCCAGTCTGAGTTCTTCCCCATCCAAATGGGGGTTAAACAAGGATGTACACTGGCACCAACTCTCTTTTTCATTTTCTTGGCTGCCTTCCTTACTCGTGCCAGTGCCAATTTCGCCACCAGGACGGACATCCAGTACCGGATGATGGATGTTTTCAACACAAGCCGACTCCGGGCAGGAACAAAGGTGCTGGCAGCTTCCATTACTGAAATTCAGTATGTAGAAGACCTCACCCTTGTCACTCACACTGAACGTGACCAACAGGAGATCCTGAACACCTACGCAGATACGTATGCACACTTTGGCTTTGAGGTAAAGGTACGTGAGACTCAGATTCTCTTTCAACCTGTCCCTGGTTCAGACACACCTCCACCATCCATCCAGCTTAACAGTACTACCCTCTCTAATAATACCCACTTTCAGTATCTCGGCTCCCACCTGTCCACCACCGCGGATATCGATGAAGAGATTCAACATCGGATCTGATGTGCATTTCAAGTCTTTGGCAGACTCTGTACCCATGTCTTCAGCTGTAGGGCGGTGAAATTATATACAAAGTTGTACGTATATCGAGCAGTGGTCCTCCCTACCCTGCTATATGGCAGCAAGACATGGGTCACATACAGGAGGCACCTCAAGGCACTTGAAAATTACTTTAAAACTTTCACCAACGTAGTCTATGTTCCATCCTCCGAGTTCGCTGGGAGGACAAGAAAACAAATGCCAGTATTCTTGCTGACACCAACTGTAGGAGCATCGAGACTACCATTATCTATGAACAACTATCCTGGACTGGCCATGTTACCTGCATGGACACCAGTAGACTGCCAAAGCAGCTACTTTACAGTCACCTAACGAACAGTAAATGTAACACTGGCGGGCAACTGAAAAGGTATAAGGATAGTCTTAAGACAAACCTGAAAAAGTGCCAAATCGGCCCCCTCACCTAGGAGACGATTACTCCACACCGTAACGCTTGGAGGAGCACCACACGAGGTGTCAATACTTTCGAGTTAGCCAGACTGCATAACGAGGCAGACAAGTGCAAACGTCAGAAAGACGCTGCCGTCGCCCCTCCCGCACTAGATGTAGCCCTCTACATGTGCAAAATCTGTGATCGACTCTGCCTGTCCCGTATCGGCCTCTTTAGCCACCTCAGAGCTCACCAATGAAGGTGACATCCTTAATAATTCATATCATTGTATCATAGCTGGATGATCGTCATACTCGATTCCGAGTGACAGCAAAGTAGTAGTAGTATTGTTGAGGATGGGTTGGGAATACAGCTGAGAAAGCATGATGGAAGTTAATGATGGAAAAGCAATTATCATTATTTTCTAGCTACTACTACTACTTTTTTTTTAAATGGCCTACAGCCTCCCCAAATAGCCATACCTTCGCCACCATTTTATTACCTTAATATTAAATATCCTAATACATAAGTAGTTATCCTAGCTGTGTTGAGTTAGTTGAGCCGCAGATCTATGCAGCATTCAGTGACTGTAGCCTCATAGTCAATATCTGCAGCTGTTGTCGGCTTTGGGGCCGATGCTCTCGTTCCCCTGAGGCAGAGCAAAGCCGACCGAAGGAGAGAGAAGGACAGTCGACATCTCATCCAGGCTGTAACATAAATTCTGGGCTGCTGCTTCTGTTCGGATATCACCTCCGCGAGTCTGGCGTAGAAGCCTCTTGCACTTGGTCTCATCCCACCAGAGGTTGTGAACACTAGAGGAGTGAAGCTGCCTTGATCAACGTTCTGAATTCTCTCCCCATATGCCCTTATCTTGTCGTTCTCGTTCCTCTTGTGTGCAGCATCAAGAGCTAAGTTACGGTGACATGCGGCCATGGGATAAAAAATCCTGATGTCGTAGAAGGCTCGCTGTCCCCGCGTCCAGAATCCTCGAGCACTGACGTCAACACGGGCTTCGTTACATGTATTTGAATTCCTATGTTGGAAAATCTCACCGTCCAATGGAAGGAGGGTCGATTCAACCCTGACATCACGGCAGATTTCCTTCAACATATTTGCTGTGAGATCCCTTACTTCGTCATGCCTCATGCATATGAAGCCCCCCTTTCTTGCACACCATGGTGTGATCGACGTCATAGGAAGAGCCACACATGCATTAGGAGGGCAAACCTTCTACTGGCCTACCGTACCTTAGAGCAATGGCATCTGTAAATTCTTGTTTATTGGGACTGAAACCATTTGCTCTTATTGGTAACGTAGTTAACCAGTTCGAGGCGCCCACCTCCTGAGCTATAGCTACTTTTCATTCAAATTCTCTGGTACTTGCAGCAACAGTTGCTGCAATGTATCACTTTGGCCGTGCTGTCGTTCTGGACCTTCAAATCTTGTTTACTTCACTGGTATCCACCTCCCCTGTTACGTTCTGAGCTATTATGTGGTCCGTGAGGGCTGCCGTGAGCTTAACTGAGTTTTGATGTTCGGTGGCAGCAATCTCCTCTGGATTGGTCAATCCCATACCTCCCAGTCTCGGTGGTAGTGCAAGGAGTGATCTTTCTGCTGGGGTTAAGTGAGGGTATTTCACTAATTTGGGAATGAAATTGACACTGATAGCTTCTTCCAGAGGGTGGAGGAGGGGTCCGATATCAGGGATAGTGCGCATCAGGTAGTTCCAGCGATGCCTGACTCCATGGGTGAATGCCGCAAAAGCTGCATGTGGCTCTGTGTTAGCAATCTTAGAGCTTGGATTTCCCTAACCCACTCATTCACCTTTCCCGTTACGTACTCGGTCTTGAAGTCCGTCGTGCCGATTACTGCGCCTAGGTGTCTTTGGCATTCCTTTGTTATTTTGACCTCACTTCCGCCAAACACCTCCATTGCCCGTTCATAATGTTCTGGCTTCACAATGAGGAAGGACTTGCTGGCGTTTGGGTGGTACCCCATTTGTGGGCCTCGTGATGTTACCAGGTCCCACCACTGTTTGATGTCCTCCACTTTTCCTGTTCCTGTAAGGTCATTAGCGTATGCCACTTGCTTGACCTCATTGTTTCAAATTTTATTGTGTGTTTGAGCACGGATAGGCCTATTGCATACATTGCCATTGCAACAGGGTCCCCCTGCGTTGTTCCCTCGGTTGACTGTATCATGGTATCACCACTACTATCATTATATATATTTACATAAACATTTTAATTTTTTATTTTCCCAATAGTTGTCTTCAAAAAACAAAAATATTCTTTCGTTCAAAAATACCAAAACTGGTGGGGAGGAAAATTTCTTTTTTTCACCACTTTTTTTCCTTTCACTTCCGCTTTTATGTTTCAGGAAAAATTTCAATTTTTTCTTTTTGCTTCTATAAAACAAAGCTGTTATTTTTCCCCGTGTTCCATCCCTGGCATTGTCAGGTGATAAATGTTACTTTAATATAGTTTGTTACTTTATGTTGGTTAATGTTACTTTGTGTTGATTAATGTTACTTTGTGTTGATTAATGTTACTTTGTGTTGGTTAATGTTACTTTGTGTTGATTAATGTTACTTACTATTAGTTAATGTTACTTTGTGTTGGTCAATGTTAGTTTGTGTTGGTTATTGTTACTTTGTGTTGGATAATGTTACGTTATAGTGGTTAATGTTACGTTATAATGGTTAATGTCACGTTATAGTGGTTAATGTCACGTTATAATGGTTAATGTCACGTTATAATGGTTAATGTCACGTTATAATGGTTAATGTCACGTTATAATGGTTAATGTCACGTTATAATGGTTAATGTTACGTTATAATGATTAATGTTATGTTATAATGGTTAATGTCACGTTATAATGGTTAATGTTACGTTATAGTGGTTAATGTTACGTTATAATGGTTAATGTCACGTTATAGTGGTTAATGTCACGTTATAATGGTTAATGTTACGTTATAATGGTTAATGTTACGTTATAATGGTTAATGTCACGTTATAATGGTTAATGTTACGTTATAATGGTTTATGTTACGTTATAATGGTTAATGTTACGTTATAGTGGTTAATGTCACGTTATAATGGTTAATGTTACGTTATAATGGTTAATGTTACGTTATAATGGTTAATGTTACGTTATAATGGTTAATGTCACGTTATAATGGTTAATGTCACGTTAATAAATAAAATGTTTGTATGTTTATCCAACTTTAAACGTGATAATAAATGATGTATATAACTCCTTAAAAAGTCATATTTTTATAATGTATAAAATAAATTCATGAGATCTGACGTAAAAAAAAATAAACTCTTAGCGCACTCAGGTATTATAATTGTTTAATATGGCCCTCATGATGGACACCTGGCCTAGGGGGTGGCCATGCAGCTGGGATATAACAGACGTGGCCCGCTACTTGTAATACACGACATTAAAGTTGGTGAAATTTCTGGGTGATAGTCACCAGGCATCACTTAACTGAACCTAATGGTGAACTAAGTTTT